CGACTGTCTACCTCTTAGTGTCAGACCTGGAAGCCAAAATCTTTTACCTTTTCAGGCCTGCCACATTTTCTCCTGTGGGAAAATGGGAGAGGGGATGATACAGAGTGTGGGTGATGTGTAGCCATAATAACATTCTTTCTCAGAAAGTCAAGGTCATCTCCCCTTGCAGCTGCGATGAGGTGACTGGGAGGCATCTCCTGTTTTGGATGGTACCTGATTGGACCATGTGATGGACATATGGGTGCTGGGGCAGGGATTTGAACTTTTCTTTGGGCGGGGAAAACCTGGAAGCTTTCAGGTTTTCCCAGGTGTGTCAATATGACATCTCTAATAAAATGGATGCGGTGGCTCAGTGGCTAAGACGCTCGGCTTGTTGGTCAGAAAGTTCGGCAGTTCGGCAGTTTGAATCCCTAGCGCCCTGTAATGGGGTGAGCTCCCTTACTCCCGTAACACACACACACAGACTGCAAATGTTTCCAATGGATGGAAACTAACCAAGGAGAGAAGCAACCTGGAATGAAGGAGAAACTTCCTAACGATGAGGACAATTAAGTCGTGGGTGCTCCATCACTGGGGGGGTTTTAAGATAAAAACTGGACAGCCACCTGTCTGAAATGGTCTGGGGTCTCCTGCTTGAGCAGTGGGCTGGACTAGAAGACCTCCAAGGTCCTTTCCAGCTCTATTCTGATAGGCTGGTTGCCAAGCGCCCCCAAATGTGGCATCACATGACTTTGGGAATCCTGCACCTGTTGTAAAAAGTGGGGACCGATTGTTGGTCTTTTTTTCAGTGCCATTGTAACTCGGAACGGTCGTTAAACGAATGGTTGTAAGTCGTGGGTTACCTTTTCAGCTGTTTTTCTTACACCTTATCTCTCCGTCATTTCTCAACTGGCACAGAGGGTGTGTGTGTCTACCTATGAGGCTACCAAGATGTGATGTGATACGGGTTGCACATTTGTTTATAGGTGTATAGATAGTCCTTGACCTGCAACAGTTTGTTTAATGACCATTTAAAGCATCAAACTCTTACAATCAGTGCCATTACAACGGTGAGCTCCCTTACTTGTCCCAGCTTCTGCCAACCTAGCAGTTCAAAAGCACGTAAAAAATGCAAGTAGACAAATAGGAACCACCTTTGGTGGGAAGGGAACAGCGTTCAGTGCTCCTTTGGCGTTGAGTCATGCCGGCTACATGACCACAGAGACGTCTTCGGACAGCGCTGGCCTTTTGGCTTTGAAATGAGCACCGCCCCCTAGAGTCAGGAACGACTAACACATATGTGTACGAGTGGAACCTTTATCTTTAATAAGATGGAAGTTTGAGGAAACTTCAAGCCTCGGAGTCTTCTTTTGTTGGGGGTGTTACTTGGAATCCTGACATTAACCCAAATCTGAAAGCACGTGGCACAGACCCAGTCAATGTGGTTTCTGGAGTAACTCATGGCTTAATAGGATGTATGAACATGGCCTGCATTCTCGGGCATCCTCCCACACTTCTTCTCCCAAGAAACTGAGCTTACCCGAGATGCTTTATCTGCCAGGACGAAAACCACCATGCATGAAACCCCAACTTCTTCTTAAAACTGGTGTGATCATTGCCAAGTGTTGTGTTTTTCTTTCTCCCGCAGGAGATGCCACATACCTCGACATCTTCCGGGACTTTTCGCACATGGCATCCAACAATCCTGAAAAACTCAACCGCCGTAGCCTTCATTTCCATCCTTCTTACCGATAGCTTTCGCCTCCGGCGTCGACTTCTGGATGGCTGCCTCAAAGGAGTGACTGAGAGACGAGGGGTCCTGTGTGACGAAACACACAAACACACGGAGGGGCAACTTGTGAAGAGCTGGGGCGAGATCCGAGATGCGATGTCTCTACCCATCGTCCAAAATGGATACCACTTGCGACGCGCCTCCCGCAAGGAGTTGTTTTTTCTCCCCCCCCCCCCCGCCGTTCCCTAGATTTTCAGAACAATACGGCGCATCTTTGCAAATACATCTGCCAGAATGATTAGCCACATAGTGGTTAACACATTCTATTGTGTTCCTTCTTGCTGGCCAGGGAGTTCTTCGCTAGCTGCTGGCAGCTGGTTCCCAGTTGCAAACATAAGACAAACAAGGTTGCTTGTATTCCCATCTATTACTACCCTGTTTCCCCACAAAATAAGACCTCCCTGGATAATAAGCCCAATTGGGCTTTTGAGCTCCCCTGAAAATAAGCCCTCCCCCAAAATATTTAAACACATGCGCAGCTGGTCCCCACAATTTGGGGAGGGGCAAGGGGGGAACATGCCCCACGTGTCACCCATGCACCTGCCATCCACATGGAATGGCCTCGCGGAAGCTGCTCCTGCAAATCCTAGTTACCACGTCCCTTCTCTTAGTGGCGGCCTCAACAAGAGCGGCAGGCCCAGTGATGCTATGGCTGGCAAGAGTGGGCCAGAAACAGAGACAGGGCTGATCCGCAGGCCACGGGCCGAGGTTAAGGGGCCTCCTGCACCTCAAAAATAATAAGACCTCCCCGAAAATAAGGCCAAGCGCTTATTTCGGGAGTCCGAAGAAAATACGACCCTGTTTTATTTTCGGGGGAGACACAGCAGTCTTGGCTCATCAGGGGTTCAAGACCATGATTTAGCTTATGAAATAAAATGCAGTTCGATGGGACACATCCCAAGGGCAGCTGAATTAGTATGAAGTCTAATTCAGACAATTTGGGGTCCTTCCTTTTCTTTCTGAATGGATGGGGGTGAATGGTTGGAGAGGCTGTGGGTGGGAAAAAAAACATTGGTGGGCATTCGAAAGCTGGCTGACTTGTTGGCAGAGGGGAACCTGGTCCCAGATCAGGAGAGTCACACTGGATTTCTTTGAGGGCCGGATCGACATTGCAGTTCTCCTCTGCGGGCCGGCGGGATGGGGTTAGACCAGTGGTTCTCAACCTGCAGGTCAGGACCCCTTTGGGGGGGGTCAAACGACCCTTTCACAGGGTCGCCTAAGACCATCGGAAAACACATGTTTTCAAAAAAATATGGAAAACATAAAATAATTTTATGGTTGGGGGTCACCACAACATGAGGAACTGTATTAAAGGGTCGTGGCATTAGGAAGGTTGAGAACCACTGGATTTGATGGACGCCTCCTGTAGCACCTGGCCGGCCAAAACAGGGGTGTGGAGGCCCCATGAGGCCCCTGCGTGGCCCGTTTTCAGCCTCCCTGGCCTCCTGTAGCCCTCTGCTGGCCAAAAACAGGCCACAGCTGCAGGAGAACAAGGAGACCGAAAACGGGCCTTGGTTGGACAATTTTGGCCAGCAGAGGCGTCACAGCAGAGGTGGCTTCCAACTGGTTCGGCTGAGTAGGTAGTAACTCAGCTTGCCACCTCCCTGAATCAGTTCTATTGGCGATACTATCTTGTTTTTTGCTTCTGCGCATGCGCAGAAGCATTTTTTTTTCCAGTACTGTGTGGTGCGTCCCTGAGTGAACCGGCAGTAGCAGCAACCGGAACCCACCCCTGCACCGCAGGCTAGTTTTTTGATATTTCCAGGCTGGCCTCATGGGCCGGGTTTAAGAACCCCGCGGGGCAGATGCGGCCTTGAGTTTTGACACCCCCTGCCCAATTGATATGCCTGCAGATTACGGTATTTTTTGGAGTATAAGACGTACCTTTTTTCCTCAAAAAAGAGGCTGAAAATTTGGGTGCATCTTATACACCGAATACAGCATTTTTTTGCCTCCTGAAACTCCACCCTTTCACCAAAATGGCCGTGCATAGCCTTTAAGAGGCTTTCAGAGAGCTCCTGGGGGTTGGAGAGGACAGAAATGAGCAAAAACCGGGCCGTTTTTTGCTCAATTTTGCCCCCCTGCCCCCAGGAGCACTCTATAAGCTTCCTAATCCCCTTTTTTGACAAAAAACGGCCCCGTTTTCGCAAAAAAACAGGCTGTTTTTTGCTCGTTTTTGCCCCCCCCCCAGGAACACTCTACACGCCTCCTAAGGGCTAATCATGCCTTTTTTTAAAAAAAAAAGAAACGGGTCCGTTTTTGCAAAAAACAGGCCATTTTTGGGAGGTTTGCAGAGTGCAAAAACTTTTTTTTTTTAATTTGCCTCTTCAAAACCTTGGTGCGTTTTATACTCTGAAAAATACGGTAAGTCATTATCAGATTTCTGTCTTTTTAAAAACTGGAAAGAGAAACATGAAGGCAATGTCTTCCAGAAACTAACTCTTTTGCTTGGCAAAATAGAACCTCTTTGGTGAAATCTGAAGTTTTGATTATGGGGATTTGAATTTCAATTTATGCACTAGAACACTTGATAACAGCCTTATTTTGGGAATATCGAAGGAAATTGAGACCGCTGGCTCGGCTCTCTTAGCCATAATCTGTTAAATGTACCGTCTTCACACCATGGCTTGCTAAAACATTTTGATAATATTCTTTTCTTCCTTCTCTCTCTCTCTCTCTTTTTTAAACAACAAGAATTGATGGAAAGTGTTATTTTTTTATAAAAACTCATATCGTTTCATGGTTTTGTGGTGTTGTTTTTAAAAAGAAAGTTATTGGGAAGAGTTTGTACTGGTACAAATTCCTTCTTGCTTAATTTCTTAGTGTGTATAGAAATCCTGGTTTAATATGCTAAAAATGTAATATATCTCCAAGCAAAATATAAGTATTTGTAAAATCTTGGAAGGGGGAGAGTGGGAGAGATGGACAGCAATGCCTTATTTACAAGAGTATAAATAAACTTGGGAGATATTTTCCTTCCAAACTATAGTTTCCTTGTAATTTTTTTTCCTGGCTTGGGCCTCTTTTTTAAATTGGTGAGAAATTATGTCACGCTGTATTTTATAGGATAAAATTTATTGGGAACAGTGGTTTTTCCCTTCCAGCTAGAACAAATACTTTGTGTCCCAAGGTTAAGAAGCCAAAATATATTTTCCTTTGAAATGTTTATACTTCTGCTTTCTTAGTAATGCTATTAAATTATATGTTAGGGAGGGATTAGTTGCAGACTTCTAAAAGCAAACATTTCTGATGCTTAAAAAAAAATAAGAAATTACACGCTGCAACAGAGATACGTTCAGGCAATTGTCGACAACCACAACTAAAACTGGGATTTATGTTGTGATGTAAGGTGATTGTTTGATTGTTGTGCTCAATTGTGTGACCTTTTTTTTTTTTTTTTGCTTGTGACTCTTAAAGGAAATTTTTAAGTGAATACAGTTGTTAAGTGAATCGTGTCATTAAGCAAATCCCACTTTAATGGACTTTGTCAGCGGGGAAGGTTGCAAACGGCGATCATGTAACACACACACACAGACTGCAAATGTTTCCAATGGATGGAAACTAACCAAGGAGAGAAGCAACCTGGAATGAAGGAGAAACTTCCTAACGATGAGGACAATTAAGTCGTGGGTGCTCCATCACTGGGGGTTTTTTAAGATAAAAACTGGACAGCGACCTGTCTGAAATGGTCTGGGGTCTCCTGCCTGAGCAGTGGGCTGGACTAG